ATGACGTTATCAGTCAGGCTTTTGGTCCAATACAGAGGAAATCTGCTCCTTTAAGTCTGCTACAGGCATGATCATCCAGGACCGAGCACAGCAGATGAAATGCTGGATGCAGTACTACTCTGAGTTGTATTACAGAGAGAATGTAGTAACTGAAGAGGCATTAAATAACATCGAGTGCCTGCCTGTCTTGGAAGAGTTGGACAGCGAAACAACTTTAGCAGAAATAAAAGTGGATTTCCTTGCCTCCAGCAAGGCACCTGGGAAGATTAACATCCATGTTGAAGTGCTGTAAAGTAGGGGTCCCCAGCCCCCGGTCCCTGGCATGGTGCTGGTCCATGGGTGTCCCTGGATCTCCGCCCTCCCACATGCGCGCATGATTGGCATGTCGCACTCATGGGTGGCAGTGTACACTCTCGGGTGGGCTATCATGACGCTCCCACCCATGAGGGTGGGGTGCCCTGCCCCCCTGTGCACAGAGCCCGCACCACCAGCAGTCCATGGTTCCAAAAAGGTTGGGGACTGCTGCTGTAAAGAGATCATCACTACTGAGCTGTATGAAATCTCTTGTCTTTGCTGGAGGGAACGTGGAGTACCATAGGACATGAAGGATGCAATCATGTTCATATTCTATAGGTGCAATGGCAATGGATGATTGCAATAACTACCATGGGATCTCTCTTTTCAGCATTGTAGGGAAACTGCTTGCCCGTGTTGTGCTGAAGAGACGCCAGGTGCTTGCAGACAAAGTCTATCCAGAATCACAGTGTGGATTTTGAGATAATACATCCACCACTGACATGGTATTTTCCCTCAGACAGTTGCAGTAGAAATGTAGGGAACCCTGTCGTTTTTGATGCCTCAACATCAGATCTCTTTGACATCCGAAGTGGAGTGAAACAGGGCTGTGTCCTCGCCTCGACTCTATTTGGGAACTTTTTTGCTGTCATGCTGAAGCACGCTCTTGAAACTGCAACACAAGGTGTCTATCTCTGGACTAGATCAGAAGGAAAGCTCTTTAACCTCTCTAGACTGAGAGCGAAGAGCAAAGTCCAGCTGAAATGCATGTGTCTGTGCATGCATCTCTGTGTGTGTGCAGGAGTGTGTGTGTGCGAGTGTGTGTGTGCAGGAATGTGTGTGCATGCGGGAGACAGGCAGGCACCTGTGTGCATGCAGTGGGTGTGTGCATGAGTGTGTGAGGGCAGGAGTGCATGTGCGCACGCATACACACGTGTTCAGCTCTCAAAGATCTGTCTTGGCGGCCCGGTCCTTCAAAGTCCACGTGTCAGGACTGAATCTCCCTAAGGAGCATGAATCCTTTGGTCAGGGAATTCCTCAGCCACAAATCTACCGCCTTTATGCTGGGGCAAGTCCTCAACATCCAGCAGTGCAGCTGGGTGTCCGTTGCACCTAGAATGAGCCTGACCTTAAATGAACACTTTACTTTTACTCAGTACTTTGTAAGTACAGACACATGGGTTTTATAGTTCCTAAGAACCTACAACAGCTCAGTTAATTAGGACTTCTCTGGTAGCTAGTCAATAGCCATTACCACTTCTCTGGCCATTACCACTCCTCCTGCTGATCCAAAAGACAATCCTTGGTGAAGATTTTTATAATTATTTTTGATTAAGAAAACATATAGTTTCACAGAAACAGTTTGTTTTTGCTCAAGCATAGCATAAAGAACATGTTCAAAAGAATACACAGTTAAATACAACTAATTCCCATTAAAAATAACAAACACTAAACTGGGCTAAGGTGGGCTAGCCCCACCTTCTTGTTTCCCTTACTTACATTCTCTTTTTCCTTCAAGCCACATACTGAAACCATCAATCCATCATCATGGATCTCGACTAGAACAAGAAGCAAACAAGAATCTCTCCCACATAATCCATCGTCCATTTTGTACATTCTCTGGACCTCCTTCTTCTTGAACATAAACCAATCAACTCAAGGAGGCATAACTGTCCATTCCACCCACAATTCTCATGAAGATGCAGGTAGTTTATCTCCATTCCAATTAGAAAAGAATGTGTTGGGTCTTCGTTCTCTCTGCGCCTCCCCATCCTTGTATGCTTATCAGGATTCACGCTGTACCAGGCTGGTTGTAAATTAAGAAAAACAACCTCTCTGCCTTTCTCACATTCCCATGTCTTCCTTTCACTTTTAAAACCAAACAGACTCAATTTTCTTTTTCTCGTTGACTACAATTCCCATTTTCCTTTAATATCTGACTACAAATCCATTCTCCTTCGATCTCATGACACCACAGACTGGTACTGGTCCGCAGTCTGGGGGTTGGAGACACCTGCTGTAGAACAGCCTTCCACATCTTGGCCTTTTCCAGCTCTCTTAGGATAGGTAACCAGGTTTGTCATGTTCATGTTTACTGTGGATGATGAAAGTTGTCCTCCATATTTGTAGAGTATTATATAGGTGATCAAGTAGAAGACATGCTGCTGCTCAGATTAGAAGAATGACTTTATGTGAGGTGTCACATAGCTGTGGAATACTAGGAATGTCTCTCCATGAGAAGAAGAATAAAACAAAAACAAAGAAAGAGGTTGGAGAACAAGACAAAGCTGCATGGGAGGCCAAAAGGTTAATAATCTAGCAGAGCAAGAGCCCTTAGGTGACAATTGGGAAGACAGAGAACAAGCCACAATTTTTCTCTCATTTGAATATGTATTGGAATATCATCAATCTCAACCTCTCTCTCACACACACACTCACTCACTCACTAACTGTCTCTCTCACACATGACATATCTTGGCAAGTTTTAAGATTTTCTCTATACCAGTGAGTGCTGGCATGTTACAACTGTGATCATCTGTGATACTGGCACCATGACTGATTACAGGTGCACTCAGTTTCCTGGTAATTATCTCTTTTGTATTTTGTTGTTTGTTCTTTTAAATCAGTGTAGCTCTTTGCTTTGATATATTGTTGGGATGTACTATGTTTTACATACACACAAAAGCCCAAACTCTGGGCTAAGTCATGCTAATACTTGTACCAAAAATTGTTAATGAAATGTCAGGATAAAACAACAACATTTTTTTTGGTTTGAAAATATACCCTGTTCCCCCAAAAATAAGACAGTGTTAATTTTTGCTTCAAAAACACATTAGGGCTTATTTTCAGAAGATTTTTTTCATGTACAACAATCGACATTTATTCAAATACAGTCATGTCATCTTCTTCTGGAACATCATCATAACTCTCCAAAGTTTGAATTTTGGCCTGAATTTCTTGTGGCTCCATTTCCTGTAGAACCATTGGCCCCAATCTCTGATGTCTAGCAATAGAGCTCTCCTTAAATGAGCACTTCTTGTCCATGTAGCCTGCTCATAGTGCATTGGCAACACAGCTGTCAGTGATTTTATCCCATGAATTCTTCACCCAAGTCACAATCTCTTGCAGTCTAGGCTTCACAAGGTTTCCACACTGATTTCTCTCCATTCTATTTTCAATATAGTCATTGATTTTCATGTGTAAATGGTCCTTGAATGGCTTGTTTTTTGGAATACCAAGAGTCATGCCTGTAGGAATCATTACTGTGTTGCCTCAAGTTATGACCATAATCCATTCTGGAAGATGGACGTAAGTTGAAATGATCATAGGTTCAAGCACCATTTTCCATAGGAATGCATTGAAACCCCATTAATCCGTTCCAGCCAAAGAAAAAAATCACCAAAAAAATTACTGCAAGACTCATTGGAAAGGTGATTAATCCCTTCTGGCCGAAGGGGGGGGGGGAAGCAATCAAATGTGCAAGACCCATTGCCAATGCAAAGAAAACAAACAGCAGATTGGAAATGCACAGAGAACAGAGGGACAAGGTTGGAAATGCAAAGAAAACAAAGGAAGAAGCAAGGGAAGCATGCAGGACCCATTGCAAATGCACAGAAAATGGAGCAGATTGGAAATGCACAGAGAACAAAGGGACAAGGTCAGAAATGCAAAGAAAACAAAGGAAAAGGCAAGGAAAGCATGCAGGATCCATCAGAAATGGGGGAAACCCCCAAAAGCAACCAACCTCCCCAAGACCCATTAGAAATGGAGGGAACCCAAAAAAACAAACAAAAAACTGCACAGAAACATAACCCCCACCCTAAAACCATGCTGCAAAAACACCTAGAACTGAGTGCTGTCCTCTGAAGATGCCGGCCACAGAGACTGGCAAAACTTTAGGAAGAACAACCTCCAGAACATGGCCAAAGAGCCTAAAAAACCCACAACAACCATTAGATCCCAGCCGTGAAAGCCTTCGCGAAAACACCTAGAACAGTTTTTTAAAAGCAGAAAACAGCGCCTTGCCTTACCTAACAGGCAGTCCCAAGCCTCCCTGCAAACACACACACGCTCACTGAGAAGCAGAAGCCAGGCACGCCCTCCTCGATCGATCGCACTCACTCTAACTGTTGGGGCGAAAGAGCTACAAAGAAGCAGCCTCTTTCACCATCTACAGTTAGCAATTTGAATTTCCCGCCTTTTTCCCCTGCCTTTTTCTGTTCGTAAATGGAAGCTCCGTTCACAAGTAGAAGCAAAATTTTGCAACTGGAGCTGTTCATAAGTCGAATTGGTCATACCGTAGGGACAGTCATAAGTTGAGGCACCACTGTATTTGATCTATTCTTCTCTCTGCAAGGAAGTTCTTCATGTCTTTAGTGCAGTGAGTGCTGGCTGAATCCCAGACTACCAGACCTCTTTGGCCACCTCGCAAAACAAGTGGCAGCATTAAATTCACCCGCTTATAACTGCTTGTGTGCACCAGGCTTAGTATTCATTTTTACTTCTTTTATCATGTGAAAGTGCCCCCTGTGTTTTCAGAAGAAGTTTATTTTCTTAACTCACAGAATTACATTTTGTTACAACAGAAGTTGACATATTTGAATACTTCTTCATTATCAAAGATGACTTAACAGGAGAAGCATTTCTAGCATAGCCCTCTTTTCACTATATTACATTTGCATATACAGAGGTCTATGTGAGGAGCATTCAGGAATCTTATTTGAAGTAGCAGTATCAGGCTATAGGATGTGCTTTCATTAAATGAGATCAAATATAAATTATTCATTGCACAGCACTGTTGTTGAATGAAAACTTCTCCCTTGTTTTAGAGGTCCATGAACAAGGTCCCTTGAACAACAAGAAAAAGGTGTTCTTGCTTTGTTCTGGGCTCTTTGAAGGTTGGCATAGCATGAGAAAAATGTGCTGCAGTCAATCCTCCCAGGAGTTGAAGGGAATGTGGAAATCATGTGGTCAGGAATGCCTTCTATCTACTTTGGTTGGTTGCAGTTGTCTGTACCCTACCTGGATAAGAAATGCCAAATAATAGTAGTGCATGCATTGGTAATTTCAACTGTAATACTCTCTATATAGAGCTGCCCTTGAAAACAGTACAGAAACTCTAGCAGGTCCAAAATGAGGCTCTAGGCTGATCTGTGGGACTCTTTAAATCAATCATATGTCCCCAGACTTGGCCCACTTACATTCACTCACTGTTATTTTCCATGCTCAGTTCATGGTGCTGGTTTAAAGCCTTTAAAGCCCTAAATGGCTGAGAACCTCAATACCTGTCAGAGCGTCTCTCCCAAAAATAGCTTCTTGTGTTACATGAAGCTCTCAATCCACAATTTTAAAGTTGGCACCACAACGGGAAGCCAGAAAAATAACGACGAAGAATCAGGTTTCTCTGTAACAGCGTCCACTTTGTGGAATAAACTACCAGTTGAGGTGTGCCGGGCTCTGTTCCTCCCAATAGTCAAAAAATTACTCAAGAAATATAAAGCAGCCTTTAAGGACTTCTTACCCTCAAATGATGTAAATTTTGATGTTTCTGTAGACCACCTCACTCAATTCAATTATATAACCATTTTGATTATATCATCATGTTTTTATGGGAATGAAGTGTGTGGACATTGTGGGGTTTTACTTGTTTGTACAATGCTTAGTGAATGTGAATTCACTACGTTGGTAGAATGTAAATTAAATAAATTAATACATTGTTGGTGTGATGGAATCTCTAGGCTTTTTTTCATTCTGCATTTGCCCAAACCACCAAATCTGTGATGCTGACCATATGCCCTATACAATTATTTGATCCTTGCCAGTATTTTTAACACCTTTTAAGACAGTGCAGATCAATAGATTATGGAAGTCTAAAAATGGGCAAGTGGCAAACAGGGACAGGTAGGTATTTAGTACATTATATCTTCTGCTGTAACATTTGCTTCTTCTGTCTTAGTTTTCAGTGCAGGAAAGTGAATCACACTGATGGCAACTAGCAGCAAATTCACACCGTGAACCGTTGCACTTGCTACAGAAAGCCAAAAAGAATGTTCATATTGTTCATCCAAGATGACGAACTGGAAGATATTTTCCTGGAAATTGGCAATCCTTTCTGTAAGGTTATGCAGTTGAACAGCAGCCATAAAGCTAGTCACTGCCAGCACTGCAAAGACACCTGAAAGAGAATTTCGAAGAGAGAGAAAAATTGTACATTAAATGCAAAATATTTGATTCTGCTGCCATTCATTCGAACCTGTTCTATGCTGAGTAATCACCACTCATCTTGTTTTCCATTAACCTGTGAACCCATGAATGCCTACTGTCACAAAATGTATAATTTCCAAACATATGGAAGATATACAGCTTCTCTTACTGCATCTTACTTGGAAGCGTGGGTGACTGAATCTTGTCTGTTTTTAATTGTTTTGCTCGATATTAAAAATGGTTTAGTCTGTATCTGCATGTTGATCCCTTGAAAATTACTTCATGAACTGTCATCTTAGGCCCATATGGTAGGATTCCTTCTCTGCAGGAGCAGTACCCACTGATTCACTTATCCACAGTCTGAAAATATTAAAAATATTAAAAGAAAAATCCCCCCAAAATATATATTTTAACTATGAAAAAAGAGAGTTAGAGCCTACCATTGGGCAAAGGCATGAAGCCATTTCATTTAGCAGATGCTAGAGAGGTGGAGAGTGACAGATGTTGGAGGACAGAACTAAGTGTACCAAACAGCTTGTGCTGCACATCCTCAGCCTAATGCCTTCAGATGCAGTAATGGAGGTATGCTGTTCCATCACTAGTTCTGAAGTAAGATTTAGTTGCTAGTCCAGTTGGCTTCAACACAGGGACTCAACAAGTATATCAGCATATTCTCCAAGCACCCAACTCCTTGCCTAGAGCAGAAAAAGGGCCTAGGAGCAAGAAGGTGGTAAGAATTCATCAGATACATTGTTAAACTATATCTAACACTGATTGATTTTTGTAATAATATGTACATATATTGAAACCCAGGTTTTAACTTAGCAAAATAAAGGGTAACATTCTGACATGCAGTATGAGATCATTATTTTACCATTTTGCATATTATAAATAGTCATGGAAATAAATATGTAGTGGTTGGCCCCCCTTTTGTGTTTATATAAGGTCTGAGTAATTTACTACAGCTAACTGTGGCTAACTGATGATGTGCCATGGTGCATCTTGATTACCCAGTCAGGAGTCCGATAAGACACATGACAAAAATGAAGACACATCCTGCCAAACTTGTGGCAGATAACACAAACACCAATAGAATTCGGACTAGAAATGGAGCTAATTGTATTTGTATACGAATATGACTATCCCCACACAGGAGGTGTTAACAAGGGTCCAGTCCCATGGCGCTGGACGGTCCACTCAATGATCCGCTGGAGATGTGGATGGTGCAGTTCTACCAATGGTGCCACAGCACGCAATCCACTCACCACTCTTCGACCTTGCAGTGAGGCTTGTCCTCCTGCCTCCTCCCAGGAGTAGCGAGTGGATCATGTACTGCAAAGCCATTCATAGAATTGTGCCGTCCATGTCGGATTGGTGAGTGGACCCTCATTAAGGCCAGCCGTGCGGGCATATTCGTATCCAAATACAAATACCCCCATTTCTAATTCTAACCATTCATTATAAGTAATAACAATTATAATATGGCTCAAGGAACATTTTTGCTTGGCTTGTGATTATTTGCCAATGTTTTGCATGGGAAGCCATAAATTATGTTCTCTGAACTACCTCCTAAGGAATAAGAGCATTCATAAGATTATTTATATATCCATATACATTACACAAAACAAATACTTTGCCTGTCAATTTACATTATCATTTTATTGTGTGCTTGCTAACAGAAAACTATTTCTTAAACTTAACTTTTACCTGCAAGTAAATTCCATAGAGCTATTCCAGCTGGACCTTTAATAGCCCGATAGGGTACTTTTATTATGTTTAAGATGCAGAATCCTAAACTGGTCAGGGCAAAAGAAAATGCCATACAAAGGAAGAAGATGATCACCACATGAAGAGCTGTGTTCAAAGTTTTCACAAGGTGTGGAAAAACTGACAAGGAAAAAAGAACACACAGTTATTCATTGTATAAATGTTGGCAAGAGGAGAACTTTAGGATAGCAGATGCCACAGACTTGTTGGAAAGATAAACAAGTGATGGGTCCTAGATCAAATTAACCCTGAACTCACTCTATAAGCAAAATGACTAAACGGAGGCTATCGTACTTTGGGCACATAATGAGAATCATGTTGAGAAAATGAACCATGCTGGGAAAAGTTTAAGACAGCAGTAAAAGAGAACAAATTATGAAATGAGTTGGCTAATAAAGGAAACGATGGACTTGAGTTTGCAAGAGGTGGTCATTTTTTCATGGGGTCACCATAACTTGACAGGGACTTCATGGAACAAAAGACTAACAAAAGATGCTGGCAGAGCAGAAGGATGCTGCAGAGCTTTCTCATCCTGAATCATTCTAGTGACTTTCTTAGAAGATGTTCCAGCTACTGTACTTAAAATATGATATAAAATATGAAAAACTGATGGGCTATGTACCTTCTGTACAGTAAGGGAGTAATTACAGTATGTCATGTGCTTTGATATTGGTCATGAATTCCCATGCCACATGCATTTGGTGTTAAAAATTTGCCATGTATCATCTTTATAGCTGATATGAATTGTTTTGGTGTAAAGTTTTAATATATTGATTTCCGAAGAATTCTGTTCTATATAAATGTAATATACAAATATAAACAACAGCTGGCTGGCTAGCTCAGTAAGTTAGGTATCTGGCTGTGGAGCCAGAGGTTGGGAATTCAATTCCCCACGGTGTCTCCTGCAAATAGAGCTAGCCTCTGTGGCCTTGGGCAAGCTGCACAGTCCCAGGGAGCCCCCAGAAGAAGAAAATGGTAAACTGTTTCTGAGTACTCTGCCTAGAAAACCCTGAGAAGGGTCATCATAAGTCAAAATTGATTTGACAGCATACTATTATCATTATTGTCATTATCACTGTAGATGTATAACCCAAATAAAGCAAGTTCTAAACCAAGAAAAGGTGCATTCTATGGTTGTTCCTGTTTAAAGTAGGCCCATTGCAATGTCTACAATTTGTTGCCCACAACAAATGTAAATTCCATTTATTTCAGTGAGTCGTGAAGATTAATGTAAGATGCAACCCTCTGACCTGTAAGAATTCAGCAAAATTGGGATATGTGCATGATTTGGCAGCTTCAGGTTCCAAATGCCAGTGAATTAAAATGATAATGGCCTTTATTCTATGTTTATTTTGAGTTATTCACTTCTTTCTTATCCCTCATCCCAATGATTCCAAAGTGATCTGCTAAAAATTAACATTATTACGAAACTGCGTAAACTCAATAAATCCAGTAATTCAAAGAGTAGATCACATTAACAGGCACAGCTTAGGGCCACACCGAGCAAGATGCAAGTCAAGCAATGCCTATTTGCATAAAATGGGGTTTAAAAGCAAAGTTTCAGATTAAGAGAGTTAATCCACAATCAAAATGATAATTTTTTTTCCAGTAGAAATGGCAGATGTGGAAGTCTTGATTCAGCTTGGACTCACCACAATTGCTACTTATTTTTAAAAGACCATTAATGACCTCTGGTATGGCCCATAAAAAGCTTGGGAGAACAAGAAGAGAATCCCATGCAGGATATGCAAAGACAGCACACCAGTAAGAAGCCATTTCTCTGCCTTACCTCACCTCACCTCACCTCACCTCCTAGAGACCCCCAGAAAAGAGTCTATATCAGTGATTTTAATTGATATAAGCAATTTACCTTCAAGAACCTAGGCATTCCTTCAAGAACCCAGATTCACAATGCTGTATAGTATTAAAGGGCAGAAAGCAATTTAAATTGTTCTCAGAATGATTTAAGAACTGGGCTGCTGTGGCATCTATAATTTTAGTTATAAGGTTTGTGGCTATAATCCTGGGAACTAACTGAAATTTTCATGGGTGTGACTGGGTTTGGGTTTTGGCTCAGGTAGTTCTCCCATTTCCCTCTGTAAAAATGAGAAGATGTCTGGCTTAACTAATGGAGATTTATTTAACAGTAACTGTGGTTTCTCAACAACAACTTCACTGGGTTCTTCACTCAGTAACCATAGGGACTCAAACCAACTCTTTTACTTCAATCACTTTTTAAAAATGGGGCATTCCACCAAACGTCTTGCGGTCAGTAGGTCTGCAAACGGGTGAGAATCAACTCACAAAAGGTTTCTGCAATATGGGTGACATGCTTGTTCCCCTTTGGTAACTCTCTCCTGGGGCACAGTTGTTTCTTAAGGCTCCTTCCTCCTCCAGGGAGCCCTTTCTTGGGCTAGGACAACACTGTCCATTCTATACCCTCTGTTTCTGCTAACTGAACTGATACTCCCTCTCTTCCTTCCTGAATGTCTTCCTTTTTCCTTCTCCCTAATACAGCAATTTCAGCAAGGGCTTACACTTCTATCATTTCTCTATTTCTTCCTTAGCAAATTTCATCCAAACCATTTCCTTGATCCATGGATCTTCCAACTTGACCCATCCCCACCCTTCGGGCAATTCCTCTATCACCCTTTCCTTCTGCTCTCCTTCCTCTGCCCCGTCACTCTCCTTCTCCCCCTTTATTTCTTCCTTCTTTATATCCTCCTCAGTTCCTATGCCATCTTCCTCTTCTGGGGGGACTTTAACTAATCGAATATCAACTGGGAAGCCAACTCTGCAGCAAGTGGGAGATCCAACAGGTTCCTGACATGCCTGGCTGACAACTTTATCATCCAAAAGGTGGTGGAGGGAACTAGAATGCACAGGTACAGGATAGGTTGTACCTTGCTTGACAGTAGTACCTGTGAGAGATTTAGGTGTCCTGGTGGACCACCACCTAAGGATGAGTCAGCAGTGTGCTGCAGCTGCCAAGAAATCCAACACAGTCCTCGGCTGCATCAACAGAGGGATAGCATCAAGATCATGGGAAGTGATAGTACCACTCTATACCGTGCTGGTAAGGCTGCACTTGGAGTACCGTGTCCAGTTCTGGTCATCACAATACAAAAAAGATGCTGATGCCCTGGAAGGGGTGCAGAGAAGAGCAACAAAGATGATAAGGGAACTGGAGGTTAAATCCTATGAAGAATGACTAAAAGAACGAGGTATGTTTAGCTTAACAAAGAGAAAACTGAGGGGAGACATGATAGCAGTCTTCCAATATTTGAAGGGTTGCCACAGCGAAGATGGCATTGATTTATTCTCCATTGTGTCTGAGGGTAGGACAAGAACCAATGGGTGGAAACTCATCAGAGGGAGATCCAACCTGGAAATAAGGAGGAATTTGGTTGTTGTAGGTTTTTTGGGCTGTTTGGCTGTGTTCTGGAAGTTTTTCTTCCTAAACAAAAATCTCCAGAACACGGCCAAACAGCCTGAAAAACCTACAACAACTATCAGATCCCGGCCATGAAAGTCTTCGAGAATACAAGGAGGAATTTTCTGATGGTGAGAACTATTAAGCCGTGGAACAGCTTGCCTCCTAATGTTGTAGTTGCCCCATTGCTGGAGGTTTTCAAGAAAAGATTGGACAGCCATCTGTCCAGGATGGTATGAGGTCTGGGATGGTATGAGGTCTCCTGCCATGGGCAGGGGATTGGACTAGAAGACCTCCAAGGTCCCTTCCAACCCTATGATGCTTCGATGATTCTCCCACCATCAGATACCCCTCTGTTATTGGTGGTTGGTTTCCCAGATTTTTATTCCTGCCTAAATCAGTCTCTCTCATTGGTGGTCCCACTCCTTGGTTCCTTTCTTGTCCTTACTTTCTAAATCGAGCTTCTCCCTCCCTGAATCCTCCACATCTGTGCAATACCAATAGGAGATGTCCCTATCTGTGTGAGATGAGGGAGAGGATGGCACATGAACAGGGATGCATGCTTTCCTGTCCACTTCCTCACAATAAGCTCTTAAGAGAATCCAGATCTTTTTCTCACGTTACTGTAATGAATCCTGCATGTTATCAGAGAGTGCATAATCAGAGCTAAGTTTTCTGTGCTGGAGGAGATGCAGGCCATGCCCCAGGCTTACCTAAGGAACAATGGGATAAGCTGCGTAATGATGTAAGCTGCCCTGGGTTCTTTTATGGAGAAAAGGGGGATAAAAATATTTTAAATAAATAATTAGTAAATTAATGACCTATGCCACAGGGACTACTTAGGGCAAAGCTCAATATCACCTGAAACACTATTTCTAGGGGAAGTGCCCATCCACATTAGGCAGGTTATTTTTCCCCATTTCCAATGCCACTAGTAGTGATCTAGAATCACTCACCTCCTCTGCTGAGAAGTATAAAAAAGTGGAGACCCTCTACTAAAGTTTCACTTAAGGTACTTTCAGACAAGACTTTAATCATGGTATTGTCCATCTAAATTGCCTGGACATTATGAGTTCTTTATTTAGACAACATTGTCCTCCAATTGTAAACCACTCATTTTTACATACTGTTCTTGCCATTCCCTGCCCCCACTGTTGTAAATCATTTAATGAGAAAAGGTGGTGTAGCTGTGAAGTGCTCTCTGATTGTGAATGTGATAAAAACCTCATCTGAGGTTCAAATTGAAAAACATGGTGAAAGAGGGCTTAAATACGGAAAGATTTCTGTTTGTCCCAGCATGAGCTTTCTTTACTTTTACTTTCATTGGATTTTTACCCTGCACCCCTAGACAAGGTCTACTCGGGGCAGCTTACAAACATAAAAACATAGCAAAACAACATCCTAAAAACATTTAAAACATCAAAATTTTAACAATTATATAAATCCTTGCCAAGATGGAGAGATTAAAAGAAAAAGTAAAGGTCAGTTTAGTTTCACTTTGCTCCTAGCTTTCATTCTAGTGAATTTTCTTTTGTGACTGGTTGCTGGATGGTAATCTCATGATTAAGTTGCAGGTCTCCTGTCCAAATGCACATATCTAAGAAAATCACATTGTGGGAGGAGAAATGAGCTACAGTATTTGGTTCTAAACAAGGACTGAGCGCTTTATTTAATGACCTTACTTATGACCTTACTTTTTCAAGACATTTGAGTTTTATCCTGTTTTATTTATCTTAATTCATCAGTTTTTTTATGGAAGTTGTTCTGTACATCCCTCTGAAGTTTGTTCAACGCAAAAGAGTTATTAATATAATTTCTTAAATTAAAATAGAAATACGAGACAACAAAATAATCAAAGGAAAATGTTAGCCTTTTGTTAGTACATGAAGAAGGACTGGGGGGTGGATCTTGATCCCCTTTGAAGAAGCTTATTACCAATGTTGTCCATGCCCAGCAAGAAGTCAAATATCTTTTACCTGCTTTTTCCATCTGACTTTTTACATATTGTTGCTTGGCCTCTCTCCAAGTTGAAGGAATAGTTTTACCCCATCACCCCACAACCCACCCGACCAATGAAAAGAATTAGCTCTCCCCCCCCAATAAATTTCCACTCAAAATCTTGAAGCCATAAAATAACTTCATGTAAATATCAGAGTCTGTGACATATTCTCAATGTCTCAAATGCATCTAATTTTTTTTTTTATGTATTCAAGAAAGGAAACCAAACTGCTACTTACTTGTGAATCTGGAATGCCGCCCACCTAACCCACATTGTCGCATCTTGCCACCTCCAAAAAGTCCATAGTAAATTTCTCCCATGAATTTAACAAGCTCTGGATCTGTGGCATTGACCAGCTCAGCTCCTGTTTTGCAAAGGATTTTTGCAGCCATCCATTTCTGGGTGCCCAGTGCAATGAGGATCAAAATAAAAGATATAAAACTCAATACAGCAATGAACAAAAACAAGGTACATTTGAAGCAGCCGGGCATTCTAACAGCTTGGAGAAATAATATTTCAAGGCCTTCCAGGTTTAATTATTGATAGTGGCAATGCAAATGGTTCCAAATTCTCGTTTCACATGACATCTTTTCCAATCTACAAATATTATGCTTGAAAAAAAAGAATAACTCCTAAAAGATATATTTCTTGTAATAATCCACAAGCAAATGGCTTAATCGCTCTGCAGAGCAATTGTGCTCATTGTTGAGAGTGTAACACCGTATCTGTTACATGACTAATGTTTCATTCAAAGGCTCAAATTCTTTAGCTGTTTTAAATATTCAAATGGCGTCCATTTCTGGCCTGTGAGATGTTTATTTGCAACATCTGTTTGTTCACTTTGTTAAGAAACCTCTCATATTTGTCTGGGAGCAAACCAGGATGAATATGTCAATATTTGGCATCAGAACTCCCCTGGCTATATAACATCAAGCAGCCATCTCTGAGTTTGTTTTTCCTAAATGTCAGTACTGTCAAGCAAATGGATGGCATTCTGCTTTCTGAGACTATTAAATGAAACAGACACATAATATTTATTGATTTCTGGCCTTGACATGTGAGTAATGTTCTGGACATAAAATGGGTTGCAGCTTGGAGGTACACTTTCCCTGCAGTGTGACAGTTGCAAGCCTGAGCTTGGAAATGTAAACGTTATCCTTTTTTTGTCCAGATTGCCAGCACAAATAAGCTTGCTCAGTAATAGCTGATTATGTTTTTTTTCCTATGGCTTGTGGTTGCTACCTTGTACAACACCTGCCACAACAGTGACAATAATAGTAGGAGCTTTGCAGGTGACTGGTAAGAATGATAGAATAATGAAGTTGGAAGGGACTACAAGGTCATCAAGTCCAACCCCCTGCTCAATGCAGGAGAATACAGTCAAAGCATATATGCCGGGTGGTTGTTTCTCTTGAATGCTTCCAGTGTTGGAGCACTCGCCAACTCTCAAGGTAATTGGTTCCATTGTCACAACTGCGCTAACAGTTAGGGTGTTTTTCCTGATATTCAACTGAAATCTGGCTTCCTGTAACTTGAGCCCATTGTTGCATGCCCTGCACTCTAGGTTGATTGAGAACAGGTCCTGCCCCTCCTCTGTGTGACAGCCTTTCAAATATTTGAAAAGTGCTATTGTATTTCCCCTCAGTCTTCTTTTCTCAAGACTAAAAATGCCCAGTTCTTTCAATCTTTCCTCATAGGGCTGGTTTCGGGACTGCCTCTTTGCCTCCGCCTGCTGAACAAGTGTCTCTTCAAAATGGGAGAGGCCATGATGCACCACCTGCCTCCAGGCTGAACACTCAGATGTCAAAGTTTCCCATTTGTTGAGGTCTATTCCTAAAGCCTTCAGATCCTGCTTGCAGATATCCTTGTATCGCAGCTGTGGTCTCCCTCTGGGGTGATTTCCCTGCACTAATTCTCCATATAGGAGATCTTTTGGAATCCGACCATCAGCCATTCTCACGACAAGCCCGAGCCAACATAGACATGGCTGTTTCAGTAATGTATACATGCTGAAAATTCCAGCTCGATCTAGGACTACTCTATTTGGAACTTTGTCCTGCCAGGTGATACCAAAAATGTGTCAGAGACAATGCATATGGAATGTGTTCAGCTTCTTCTCCTGCCGTGCACAAAGGGTTCAGGATTCACTGCAGTACAGGAGTGTACTCAGGACACAGGCTCTATAGACCTGGATCTTGGTATACACTGTCAGCTTCTTATTAAGCCATACTCTCTTTGTGAGTCTAGATGGTAGCTATTTTGCCAACGTGTTTGTCCAGCTCGATATCTAGGGAGAGAGTGCCAGAGATCGTTGAGCCAAGGTACATGAGGTCATGAACAACCTCCAGTTCTTGTGTGGAGACGGTAAGGGAGGCGAGTCCACGCCCTGGTCCATGACTTGTGTTTTCCTCAGGCTGATTATTTTATATGGTTATCATTTTTAAAAGTAGCCTTTAAATACTGTATGAATTTGTTTTAAAACTTCTTTTTAATCGGTTCTTAACAGAATGCTTTGCTTGCTTGAACATCTTGGCTAGGCTTCTCTCTGTTCTTGTATTTATGCATGATTGTGAGACATTGTTGAACATTGTTACCTTAAATGTTATGAAACAAAACAAAAAGACAAAAACCTGTGGCACCTTAAAACTTTATATTTGAATGTGAGCTTTACCATAGTTAAGTCTTTAAGGTGCCACAGGTTTTTGTCTTTTTGTTTTCTTTCTTTGGATTTTGCCTGATATGTTTGGACATGCTAACATAGCTACCTATTCTTAAATGGTACGTTTTTATATTTTGTTGTCGCACTGTCAGGTCAGAAACGACTTGTAGCGACACTAACAGGGCTTGCAAGGTAAGTGAGATATTTAAGGAGCGGTTTTACCAGGTTCACCCTTCCAGTGAGTTTCCACGGCTGAGCAGGATTCCGCTTTTTTACCTGAACGGATACATCCACGCCAGTGTTTTACTCCCATGCAACAAGCAAACCTAATGGCACCCCTTCCAGACGGCCCGCCCATTCCCCCCTTCAAACTCGCAATAGATGAGGCTGTTTCTGCCAGTCTGCCGGGGAGCAGAAAGGACGCTGAAGACGATTGGTCCGCGCAGGGCGCTTCGGGCTTGTTGGGGGGCGGAGGTAGGAAGGCTTCTGCGCGGAGCTCCTTCTGCAGAAGGCGACGGGGATTTGGCGCGGCGGGGCGGTGGCTGTGCGCACCCGAGAGAGAGCATGATGGCAGTGGCTGAGGCGCACCGGGTGCTCGTGTATGGCGGCCGAGGGGCCCTGGGCTCCAAATGCGTGCAGTGCTTCAGAGCTAAAAACTGGGTAAGCTGTTCTTGAACTCGGGAACGTGTTGACGAACGAGAAGGCCACCGTTTCTGCCGCTTAGTTGTGCTTGGTAAAGGAGGCGTTCAGTGCCCAGCTTGGCATTGTATTCCTTCTAAAGGAGGTGTTCTTGTCAGACCTTGGGGGCGTTCCTTACTTTGCAGCGTGTGGTTTGGGAGACAAGGCTGAAGAATCTGGATGGCCAAAGCAGTCAAGGACATTTTAGTTGATCGGCACCCCAAATAATTATTGGGTAGCTTCTTATAGTTTGCCATGCTTGCACACACATCCACCCTTCCTTAGAAGAGAGAAATCAGGTGTTTTGGGACCATGGGTGTCTGCAGGGGAGGGCACACATAAACTTAGTGTGTCTTTAAAAGTACACAGGTAAAAACTACAATCAGGTGAGTGGTGCATAGGTACTATTCATAGATTTTGATCCCCTCCCTCATTGGGGAAAGAGGGGATGGTTGCCAGTTGAAGATCTTGTCTGGACCACCCTTAAATTGCCATGAATGAGTTAGTGTGATTGTGTAATGAAAACGGCCTTAACAGATCTTGCCTCATGAAAGAGGCACAATAAGCACTTTGTAGATATGCACTCCAGAGTCAGAAGAAAACTGGTGTGCATTTTAGCAAGATGTTCAGTTTCATTTCCAGAGCTGACACTTGTCTTCCACCCCTCCTGCATTTGAAATGAACCTGCACAATATAGTGAATGTGTCTGTTAAATTAAAGCAACAAGTTTTTAAATTCATGTTGAGTTAGGAAAATCTTATTTTATTTTATCAGTGGGTGGCCAGCATTGACTTAGCAGAAAATGAAGAAGCAAATGCCAGCATTATTGTGAAGATGAGTGACTCCTTTATTGAACAAGCAGATCAGGTAGTATGTGTGATTTTATGTCCTCTGTATAGTTGTTTGGAGCAAGCCAAGAAAAATCATGGAAATGTTGGGCTCCCTTCCTCAGGATTTCCAGGTGCTATACTGGTTGAATTTCTGCCTGTCATAATGTTGTTAAAGGCACTGTGCCAAGATAGGAAGGAAATAATTCTACTCTTAGAGAACAGGTAGGCCATTCATTCTAGGCTTGCCAAGGTCGCATGCTAAATCTTTGCATCTGCTCTGGTAACTGACTCAGGCCAACAAAAGCTGGACGTTATGAATCTGTGAACAAATGTTACTGAGAATCAACCTAGTTAAAGATTTATGGGCTTCAAGCACAAAAGGTCAAGGTTTTTTGTGTGGTGGTGAGGTGCAAGTGACAATGAAGAGGACAGTGCTTGATATTCCTTTTTAACTGCCTCCACAACACTGAATGCAATGCAACCTCAGTGAGGGTCCATCTCAGGTGATCTTACTTCACCTACTTCAGCATCTCACTTGCCTTACTGTTACTTTATCTCTTTTCAACATATTCACCTGTTGCTTTCTAAAAATGATGGGTTTTTGCTCGTAAACTGCCTGGAAATAGTGTTCTATGTTCTAGAGCAGAGGTCGTCAACCCCTGGTCCACAGCCTACTGCCGTTCCGTGGCTTGAGCTCTTGGCCACACACCCCCACATGCACTCCCCTCCCCACAACTGCTTTGTTCATGCACATGCATGCCAGCATCAGCGTGAGCGCCCCCTCACCCCTTTATGCATATCCCTGCGCATGCAAAGCAGTTGTGGGGAGGGGAGTGCGTGCGGGGGGGCTTAAGAAGTCTGTCTTTGCGGCCAGCGGCAGCGGGGTGTGTGGCCAAGAGCCGGGATTAAGAAGTCTGTCTTCGCGGGCAGCGGGGTGTGTGGCCAAGAGCCGGGAGGCAGAGCACGGCCAGGTGCTCCAACTGCTGGCCTCCTGGTGGTCTCCAACGAGGCCAGGGTCGGTGCTCCTCGCAAAACTCCAGCCCTCCCCCCTTCATGCAAAGGGAGGGAAATTCTGGGAGCCTAAATTCCCTCTTCTCCCTGACCCTGAACCAGCCAGGATGATCTAGTCAGCCCCCTACAGCAAAACCCCCATTAACAGCTAAACATTCAGTTCCTTAAAAATAAAAATAAAAATTAGCGATGGGTTCGGTGGGTTGAAGGAAAGCATGGGAAGCATAAGCGGCTGTGTGCGGCCCCCCGCCTGCCCCATCTGCCCTAAGTAGAAATTGCTGAGATGGGCAAACAGAGGGTGGGTTTAAACAGGCACCATGAGAGCTCTCTCCAATACCAAAGTCAGCCACCCAGGTCCCTGGCCCAGTCTGGCAGCAGCCGTGCGCACTTCAGGCAAGGCCTTTTTTCCAACCCCATCGTGATTCGAGAAAACCCAGAACACCTTTGAATGTTCCCCATCCCTCCAAGCTAGGACCGATCGGGCGCACAGAAGGCACACTAGGGTCACTTCCCCAAGCACTTAGTACACTCAAGCCCAGATGCCACCGCTTCCAGAGAAAGCTCCTCGCCTCCCTCAGCAGGCCGATGCCCCCGCTGGTGCCTCCAGCTCCAGAACTGGCACCAGCGGCTGTATTTGAATTTCCCTCGGAAGGCGGTGAGGAGTGACGCCCCCGGCCTTGTTGGAGCCCGTCAGGAGGTGAGCGGCCGGAGGGAGCACCCTGGCCATGCTCAGACTCCCAGGCTTCCACTGCCGCCGCTTTGTGCAAGCGTCGGAGAGTGCGAGGGGCCACCCTGCCTCCCTCAGAGGTTCAGCCAGTTCGTAGTAGGAAAAAGGTTGACGACCTCTGTTCTAGAGGCCCTACCTTTCAATCCTGGATTGACAGTGTCTTTTTGAGATTCTTTATTGGTGAAGGAAACACCCATTGTTCTTGCTCAGGCCATACCCTTTATTATAAACAATTGATGAACCCAGAATTATGGTATGAAAACAGATTCAAGACTTAATGTTGGCAGACAGAGACTTATATTAAGCCTTGCCCCATATCTTCTTATATCCCAGTTAGTGCAAGGATTAGCAAAGTTGTCATTGCTTCTTTGTAAGAGAAAAATATTAGAGAAAGGATCCTATAATATCCTCCTCAGTCGCCATGGTTGTGTCCCAGGGCTGTCAATCTGAGCATAATTATTGCTCTCCTTGCCCTTTGAACTTTGGTCTCCTGTTCCCATAAAGTAAAACCGTAGAACCCTGAATTGCTTTCTAAGATCTGGTTCGGGGGGTGGGGGGAATGTGACACAATGAAGAAAATCATGGTTCCTGATAGACCTGCTTGTAAGGTGTGTGTGTAGGCAGAGAGGGTCCTTTTCCTTGCATCAAAAGTAATACCCTGATTAAAGAGCTGATTTTTCCCCTCTAGCCACCCTGCAATATGACTTTTTCAGCCAGTTTTCTTCCTAGCTTTCTTTGTTAGCACCAGATTGGAAAAAATTGGTTGAAGTAATGATTTTGGGGGGGTAGGGGACTGTGCTATTTACATAAAATGGGTGGGTTCTTGTGGTTGGATTGCCCTTCCTACCATCCTTTATGATTGCCTGAATTAGTTGAGGAGACATAATTGCACAGCATTTGGAGAAGGGCAGTTCTCTCCCTCTTACTGAAAGGATATCTGCCCTCCCACCTCATCTGTCCACAAAGATTAAGACTTCTGCTCTATGATTTATGAATGAGTGAGGCGTACACATGAATAGACAAGCCTTTGTCTCTGCCTGATGTGGGTATTGAGATGTGAATCTGTAACATCACTGTTACCAGTTCAGACTGAATTTTCAAGAGCTTACCAGGGGAACATATTTGTGAATTAGGTTGGGCTGAGAGAGAGTGACTATCCCAAGACCACTCTCAGTGAGTTTCATGGCTCAGTGGAGATTTGAAGCTGGGCCTCCCCAATCCATGTCTAGCATTCTAACCACTACGTGAATGTTCAGCAAACTTCTGCCTACACACTAAAGTTATACAGTCGAGACACAGTTTTACCACTTCATTGAGAACTAGGAAACTGAAATCCAATATGTGAGGATGTTTATGAACTCCAGGGCAGTGTTCCTGGACTTTTAAAATCTCTTCATTTTCACATATTTAAAGGTAACAGAAGATGTTGAAAAACTCTTGGGTGAGAAAAAGGTTGATGCTATCCTTTGTGTAGCTGGTGGATGGGCTGGAGGTAATGCAAAAGCAAAATGTAAGTTGTAAATTAATATTTCTCTTTTATTTGTCTTGTCTAGTAAGAGACTGTTCATGAAAATTCCTCCAGTTTCAAAGCGTACATTTTTTGCATATTAGTGATATTTGCGTTTGTCTGACATTTAATGAGATCAAAGCCCACTGGAAGAAAATTCTTAGTATTTAGTGGTTTGGTGGGCATTCTGCTCCCCAGTTCAATTGCAGGAAGTTATAGTGTCTGAAATCAACATCAGGTTTTCATATAATACTATAAAGCATTTCCAGTCTCCATTGTTAGAGACATAAACCACATCAGAACAAACTGTTATATGAGTCCTAGACTAGATCTTTAGTAGGAATCATGTGTGTAATAAATAGCCCTAAAATGTTCATTGTGCAAACCCATTGGAACAATTTAAAAAATCCTGTCACAACAAATTAATGATTTTTTTTGAACATGGGTAACTCTGAAAACTTCTTTTCTTTTTTCTCTCTGTGTGTGGCTTCAGAGGAGACTAGTTTCTTTATGATGTCTGACCCATAATACTGTGGTTTGATGGAACACTTTAATGATGGTTTGTCTGTTGACACTCCACTAATGCCTTACTCGGCTGTTCAAGATAGGGTTAACTTGAATGCATAAGCAGAGGAAGCAGCAATCCTCCTTCTCTCTCTCTCTCTCTCTCTCTCTCTCTCTCTCTCTGTGTATGTTTGTGTGTGTGTAAGTGTAAAGAGCTAAATCTAATTATGGGGACTCACCAGGCAGTGGAATCCCCTTATAAAATTACAGATTGGGGCTACACCAGGGGTCTCAAACTCAATTTACCTGGGGGCTGCTGGAGGCAGAGTCTGGGTGAGGCTGGGCCCCATCAGATTTTCTGCCAAGTGGAGCAAGAGCCCGAGAAAGCCGCCCAGGAGTTTCCTTAGTCCGGCTGGGGCTCCGAGGATGAGGAGAGGCGTGCGAGCCTCTCCTCCTTGGAGGGGGGGAGGGCATGACATAAGATTTTTAAAAAATCACAGAATTCACCTTGCCAAAGAAGAAAAGCCCCCACCAGAACATGTGAAATTAAACAGAATGGGGCGGCCCCCACACAGGTGTGTGCGCACTCACGCACACACACAAAAAACCACACACAGAGGTCCGGCAACCTTCTGAGGGCCGCCTCAAAAAAAAAAGGTGCACTCAGCAGCAGCAGCTATCCGCATCATGACGGGGGGGCAAACTTTGCGAGGCGAGCCCAGGCAGCCTCCCGAGCTGAGGCGGCTGAAGCAGGAGGAGGAGGAGGAGGAGGAAGCACCGCCAGGCGCTGAAGCGGCCACTGGCCGGGCTGGTGCTGGGGGTGCCAAGAGAGAAAAAGAGCCAGAGAGCCGCTTCTCTGAAAGAGGTGGCAGTGGCAGCTGCTGTTGGTGGCCTGGAGGCGCTGTTTGAGGATGGGTTGGAAGCGAGCTCTGCTCTCAGGCATCACTCAGCGGCAGCTCGGGCACTCTGGGAAAAGGGCCAGCAGCGCACCTCACTCACCGGCTCTCCCCCAAGACAGCACCTCTTGCACCCTCCATCTGGAACTGCAGCCTGCCAGCTGGCAGACAGGCAGAGAGCCGGCGAGCGAGGCAAGGCTTTTTTTTTTTTTACTCTTGACAGCAGAGGATGTGTGGGCGCTTTGGGGGGGGAGGCAAGGCGGGGGCCACAATATCACCTGGAGGGCCACATGTTTGAGACCCCTGGGCTACACTGAGGTGTTTCATACTGTGCCCTTAACATTTAGGCCTCAACACATAAAAGATTAAGATGAAGGAGGCAAAGTGAGTCTTCTCCCTCTGTTTTCACATTCAGATTAATCCTTGCATTGAATTCTTGAATAGGGCTGTGGTGTCTCCATTATCCTTTAGGAACCATAAATTGATGTGCATGAGAATATGATTTTGTAGGGGCATCCAAAATAAACTTTTGCTTTCATGTTAGCTTTTACCTTGATTCAGACAAATCATAGAATTAGAACTATAATATTCGGTTGTATTGAAAGCTGAATTGGAACAGCATACCTAGTGTGCAGTACATGGCAACTACAGCTAAAGAAACCTAATCCTTGGACCTGTGAAGTAGTCAGTCTTTTCAGCTATTATTCTAGGACAGGGAAAAGTCTGATCCAGTGTTATCCATAGTAGCAGATGGTTAGTTGTGCAAGTAGAAATAAGAAAAAAATGGGTTGTTGGATCCTTGATGTCTCATGTGTCTTGTAATTGTTTTGCCTACCAGCTTTATACAAAAACAGTGACCTGATGTGGAAGCAAAGTGTTTGGACATCAACGATTTCTAGCCATTTGGCCACCAAGTACCTGAAGGAAGGAGGCTTATTGACCCTAACAGGGGCGAAAGCAGCATTAGGTGGAACACCAGGTAAAATTAGAGTGGTGTGTGTGCATGCTTGTGTGTGTGTTAAATTTGCTCAGGAGTTTATGAATTCAGTTGTTCACATTTTAGAAAAGCCAATCCTGGGTTTTTCATTCTTTGTTGCACAGGACTGAAATCCTCTTGGAAGAAATGTTGAAAGTGGCAAGTGCAGTAGAGCTCAGAAAAGGTACTAGACTTAAGGGCTATAGCTCCCCCCCCCAAGTTATGAAACAAGATGTGATTAAGCTCATATCTTGTTTACTAAAAGTAAGCAGTGCCCCTTCTTGTTTATTTTGGATTACACTACATCTGAGTCTGCCTTGCTTCAAAGACAAATGACCTTCAGCCATGTCAGTAGTTTTGAAATGGGCTTTGCTGTCATTATTTCATGCCTGCTATTTCTGCAGAAGGCAATTTAAAGAACTATAAGTAGGAAGGATTTTGCTGTACTTATGCCGAAAGTAAAAATAATCTACACAAGGGATTGAAATTCTGCACCAAGAAACACTGAATTATGTGACCTGAATTAATCACATTGAAGAGATTTGCAGGATTTTTTCTGCTTTTCTTATTCACGAGAATGGGGAGAGTGGTATGCAAGAAAAAGAAGCTCATATTCAACCTACTGAATTTTTAAAATTCAGACAACTTGTGACTTTGGGGATATCTGCAAGCCTTGCAGATTCAGTTTCAGAACTATAATACTTACTGTTATGTGCTGTTGATTTGCTTCTGACCTATGGCTACCCTGTGCATTAATAACCTCTGAAAGATCCTGCTATTAACAACCCTGTTAAGGTTTTACAAACTAAAGCCTGTGGGTTCCTTTTTTGATTTATGTGCAATCATGTGTCTTTCTCTTCTCAACATTCCCTTCAGCTTTTTCCAGCAGCCCATGGCATCTGTATATGGCTTTCTTGCAACACCACATTCCAAATTAATCAGTTATTTATCTGTTGTGTTTCTTCATTGTCCAGCACTTCCATGCAGAACAATCAAGAATACCATGATACGGATATTTTGAGCCTCAGTCTCCAACAACACATACTTATATTTAAGGATCTCTTCTACTGCTTTGTAGCTGTCATTCTGAATTGTCTAATTTCTTGACTGCACTCCATTTTAATGGAAGATTGAATTGAAGTATGCAAACTCTTCAACAATTTCAGTTTTTCACTGTCAGTGTTAAAGTCACATAATTCTTTAATGATTGCTGTATCAGTTACAGAGTCCTGTTTTTGTACGTTTTCAACCTTTATCAGTACTAATTTCAAGTAATTGGTACTTTCTGCCAGTAATATGTTATTTGCATATTTTAAATTATTTGTATATTTTCCACCAATTTTCACTTTTCCATCTAAGTCTATTCAAAGTTTTCATTGTGTATATTCTGCATATAGATAAAATAGATGGGAAGACAGAATGTGCTCCGTATCTGTCTTTTAAAAACAATTCTGCTTCTCCATATTCTATTCAAACAGTAACCATTATCTATTTAGCAGTATTGTCTTGTCTAGCATATAGGTTACACATCAGGAAAACCTTGGTAAATAAATATGGTGGCCTTATAGTTACTGCACTCCTTGGCATATCCTTTCTTTGAGATTCAAATGTGTGTAGAACTTTTCCAGGCTGTGGACCATTGTTGTATTGTCCATACTTGTTGGCCTATACTGTTGCGATTTTGATAGAGCTAGTTTCTGCAATTTTTGAAATTGGCTGTATTGGTATCCCATCTTTTCCTGGTTATTTGTTTCTTTCAAGAGCTTTGAATTGCAGGTTTTTCATCAAAATATTCTTTTTTGAAGTAATCTATCATTCTTGTCCCTTTGGTATCTTGGGTCTTATGGGAGAGATCTGTTTCCTTTGATGTTGTGTTTGTTGTTCCCCTATTTCTTAGCTATGGTTATTATAATAATGCTCTTCATACTCATATGCTGAAAAGTTGCATTTATGTTCTGACCCTTTTTCTGTCACTCTTTAGTTTTGTTTCACGTGTCTTCAACAGTTTTAAGAGTTTCATCAGTTACCTGTCAAATCTTTTGGCTATAGGAATAGTTTCGTCATATTATTTCCTTCTCCTTTCCCTTTATCGCTGATTATACAGTGGTGCCCCGCTAGATGCTTATCCCGGTAAATGCCGAAATCGCTTGATGATGACTTTTTTGCGATCGCAAAACGATGGTTCCTATGGGGGAAATCCGCTTTACGTTGATTTTGCGAACCGTTTGTTCGCAAAACGATAATTTTTCCGGCTCTGCAAAATGTCTTCCCTTCGCAAAATGGCTGTTTTCCGTACGGAACCTTCAGAAGACAGCGATTTAAAACAGCTGATCGGCGATTATCTGTGGGCGATCTTTGCTGGACGATGAAGTATTTCCCTGTTGGAATGCATTAACCGGTTTTCAATGCATTCCAATGGGGTTTTTTTTTGCATGACAACAACTTCGCATGACAATGATTTTAATGGAACTGATTATCGTCGTCATGCGGGGCACCACTGTATTTCTAGTTTCAATCCATAGTTCTTCTGGTTCATAGTTGTTTGAGCTTAGGAATGTAAAGTTGTTCTTTATAGGACCTTTACATTCTTTAGGAATGCCATTTTTGATATTATGTTTACTACTACTCTTAAGGTTTATTCTATTTTTCAAGCTAACTATTTACAATCTGTTATGCAGTACACCTTGGGTTTTCTTTGGGTTGTTTTTTTTGCAGAGTGAATAGATTCTTTTATCCTCTACTTCCAATTATAGGATATAGACTGGTTTTTATAACATTCACATGTAGATTTTTTTGTTTGGTTATTTAAAGCCTGTATATGCAATGAACAGATTACTGGCTTCACAGTTATCTGACTCACTCTCCTGCTTCATTTTGTACACATAGACCAGATTGAGCAACAGTGTTTGGTTTTGCTTTACAGTGGGGCTTCGACTTACGGACGTCCTTACTTACGAAATTTTCGAGATACGAAAATATCCGGCCGCAAAACTTTGCTTTGACTTTCGGCCAGAGCTTTGAGTTATAGACTTGGGGTAAAGGGAGGGGTAAAGGCAGGGGTAAAGGGCGGGAAATTCAAAAAGTTGGTGGTGAAGAGGCTGCTTCTTAGACCCCCAATGGTTAGGAAAAGGGAGGCTCAGCCTTCCAGGCTTCCCTGCTGCTGTCGCTGCCACCGCTGTCGCTGGCAGAAGACGAGCTGCCGGACCATCCTCACTGGGCTCAGCCTCCCGGGGTTCCCCGCCACTTTTACAGCCTCTGCCAAAGGCTTCCCCGCCTCCCAGGATTCCCTGCCGCCGTTACAGCCTCCGCTGAAGGCTTCCCCACCTTCCTCACCCCTGGCTTCCCTGTCTCCCGGGATTCTCCGCTGCCGTTACAGCCTCTGCCAAAGGTTTCCCCAGCTTCCTCGCCCCTGGCTTACCCACTCCTGGCTTCCCCACCTCCCGGGATTTCCCACCGCTGTTACAACCTCTGCCAAAGGTTTCCCCTGCTTCCTGGACCTGGCTTCCCCATCTCCGGCTTCCCCGCCTCCTGGGATTCCCCACCACCATTACAGCCTCTGCCAAAGCCTTCCCTGGCTTCCCTGCCCCTGGCTTCACCACCTCTTGGGATCCCCCTCTGCCATTACAGCCTCTGCCGAAGGCTTCCCCACCCCTTGGGATTCCTTGTCGGGCCCAGGAAGCCTTCAGGAGGCTGCAATGGCGGTGGGGAACCCTGGAAGGTGGAGAAGCTGGGGGCGGGGAAGCCTTTTGCAGAGGCTGTAACAGTGGTGGGGAATCCCAGGAGGCGGAGAAGCCAGGGGAGAGGAAGCCGGGGGAGAGGAAGCCGGGGAAGCCTTCGGCGGAGGCTGTAACAGCGGTGGGGAATCTCGGGAGGCGGGGAAGCCAGGGAAGCCCGGGGCGAGGAAGCCAGGGAAGCCTTTGGTGGAGGCTGTAATGGCAGTGGAGAACCCAGGAAGCCAGGAGTGAGGAAGCCGGGGAAGCCTTCAGGAGGCTGTAATGGCAGCGGGGAACCCCAGGAGATGGGGAAGCCGGGGCTGGGGAAGCCTTCGGTGGCTTACTGTACAGTACGTATTTTCTTTGTTTTGTTATTTTTTTCTTCAGACAGAACGGATTAATCTTTTTTTGTTTTCTTTTTTTCTTTTAACATTTTATTGCATTAATACACTACAAAACACACAGCTTACATAATCAAAACAAAAACAAAAAACCATCACCCTTTTGGAGTCAGAGACTCCAGCTTCGTGTGACTCTGTTTTCTCCAGCTGGGTTCCCAGTGTGAACTGAATACATATATAATCAAATTCGCCCTTAACTCCTGTCCTCCTCTGGGCCCAAGAATATATTTATTTCCACCTTTGTTTCACATAGTCTCTTGGTTGTTCCCGCAATGCTTCTGGACACACTTCCAGTTCTACTATGTCCCATAGCTTCTTTAACAACTCTTATATCATTGGAGTTTCTTCACTTTTCCTTTTTTAGGCCCAGGGTAATCTGGCTGCTGTGAGTATGTACATTAGACAATATTTTATTTTCTTATTAATTTCTGGTGTGATATTCAATAATGCCATTTCAGGTTTTATATCTAATTTTTGCTGAGTAATTTCTTTCACTTTCCCACACTTGTGTCCAATATCTTTTGACTTTTTTGCATGTCCACCACATATGATAAGTTCCTACATTTTTTACACTTCCAACACATATTGCTTTTACCCTCTGAAATTTTTGCCAATCTTCCAGGTGCATAATGCCATCTATAAAACATTTTGAGGATATTTTCCCTAAGGTTTACTGGTTTAATCATCTTATAACTTTCATTCCACATCTTAGTCCAGCAATCAATATCAATGTTATATCCAAATTTTTTTGCTCATTTTACCATCATCTCCTTCACCCTCTCATCCTCCAAATCATACTCTAATAAATATACAGTGGTGCCTCGCATAACGAGCGCCCCGTTTAATGACGAATCCGCATAGCGATGCGGATTTTGCGATTGCAAAAGCAGTCGCATTGCGATGTTTAAATAGGGAAAACATCACATTGCGATGATCGGTAAGCATTTCGATTACCGATCTTCGCATTGCGATGTTTTAAAACAGCTGATCGGTGGTTCCAAAATGGCCACCGGATCAACAAAATGGCCGCCTGCAGCGTTTTTGCGCTGATTCCTCACTTACCGAGGCGGCGAAAATGGTGGCCGGATGGAGGATTTCCGCATAGCGGTGAGTTTTTGCCCCATAGGAACACATAGGGTTTAATGCGTTCCTATGAGGTTTTTTGTTCCGTATAGCGATGTTTCCGGATAGCGACGATTTATCCGGAACGGATTATCATCGCTATGTGGGGCACCACTGTATATACCTTTAAAAATTACTTTTTCATCAGTATATATCCACGGTTTATCCACCTGAACTTTGCCCTCAAAGAAACCCACAGTTTTATCTTTTTTGTATCTTGATTCTAATTTCACCATTGACCAATCACCGGCTACACCCAGTTTTTCTAGCTCTTGTTTATCCTTTATATTTTGTTCTTTAGTTAACAGATTTTCATATGTAGTCAGCACTCCTTTCTGGTTCAACACTTTCAATGTAAACGCTTCTATAGGGGCCACCCCTAATGGAATTTTCTTACATGCTTGAAATTTTTGCCACACTATCCCTAAAGCCTTCCTGAGGATACGTTCTCCTAAATGTGAATGTTCCTTATGTTTTCCATACCATACATATCCATGCCATCCCATTTTTAAATCACGTCTCTCCAATTTCATAAGTCTTTGATTTTCAAAAGTTATCCATTCTTTTATCCAGGTCATAGCACAAGCCTTGTAATATAGTAACCAATTCGGTAGTCCCACTCCCCCCCCTTTCTTTCAAATCTTGTAACAATTTAAGTTTTATTCTTGATTTCTTAGACTTCCAGATAAATTTTGATGTCAAGCTATCCAGGTCCTTAAAATACTTAAAGTCCAATAGTATTGGTAGATTTTGAAATAGGAATAATAGTTTTGGTAAATCATCATTTTTATTGTTGATATTCTTCCCATAAATGAGAGTTGTAATTTGCTCAATTCTTTGAGATTTTTCTGAATTTCTTTCTGTATTGCTAGATAATTTTCTTTCATTAAATTGCTTGGTTTTTTATGGTGATGACAACTATATATATTGTATATATTGCATTAATTGTTTGTAGAAATGTTCCTTCAAAGCCCCTTCAAACTCCCAACTAACGTTATCAAAGGCTTTTTCTGCATCTAAAAAGATTAATATCATCTGCTTTTCCGGATGCATTTCATAATATTCCAAAATGTCTATTATCGTCCTTATGTTTGATGAGAGTTTCCTTTTAGGTATGAAGCCTCTTTGGTCTATGTATTATTACTTCAAGTATCCCCTTTAATCATTGAAACCCGATTAATCTGAAATTAAAATGAGGGATGTGTTAATGCATGAACACGCGGGAAGCTAGGAGAGTGCTATATCATGTCCTGATGGAAAAATAACTCACGCAGACACGTTCAGCTTCTTCCAGCACGACACATGTATTTACAGCATATATACAGAGTGGCAGCACCACAGCATGGAATCATCAGTTGAAGAGGGAAGGGACATCTTTTCTGTACAGTTCAAATATATACACTCAAGCATCTGCCCTTGCCCAATCAGAGCAGATGTTGCATCATCCAGGCACCACCTCTTCACTGTGACTCAGCACTTTACAAACCTGGATATCATGGCAGCTCATTAATGCTTCTGTTCTGTTCTGTTCAGGCCTGTAAATTTTTAATACTCTGACAGGAGATCTTGGCCTAGACATTTTTTATTAAGTCAGATATCAGGTGGTCAGACTTTACATTATAGCTTGTGCTTGTATTACATCTTGCTTTGCCATTAGAGCCACACTGGGCAAAATGTAGTTGCATAACATTGCACTTGGTCTAACCTGGATCAGGAGCCAGAAATGTTTAATTTACACTAATTAAAAGCTTTATATTCCCCCTGTTTTCAAGGCTCCTTCAGGCTCCCTTTTGCCCTGTGGAAGCCTTTGGGAGCCTTGGGACAGGCAGGAGTAGCCTTTAAAATTTAAAAAATCACTCCTAGCATTTCTCACTATTGGCTACACTGGCTAATGCTGCTAGGAGTCACAGTTAACAATATATAGAGGGACACACTTTGCTCAACCTTGGATTTGAATGGACTGTTATATAGTGGGGTTTTGACCTACGGAATTAATCCGTATTGGAGCGGGGTCCATAGGTTGAAAAGTCCGCAGGTCGAAAATGCATTCCCATAGGAATGCATTGAAAACCAGTTAATTCATAACCCGCCCAAGAAACACCCCCCCATGCACACACAAAATTAAAATAGTCCGCAGGTATGCATTCCCATAGGAATGCATTGAAAACCAGTTAATTCATAACCCGCCCAAGAAACACCCCCCCATGCACACACAAAATTAAAATAAATGTAAAAAAAATTAACCTTACCTTTTTGAAGCCTTCCAGGGTACCCCGCTGCCGTCATCGCTGCTACCAGAGGACTCCGAGGGCTTCAGCGCTGCTGCCAGAGGCCTCTCGGAGCTCCGCTGCCGCCATCGCCACTGTTAGAGGACTCCGAGGGCTTCGGCGCCACTGCCAGAGGCCTCTCGGAGCTCCCCTGCTGATGCAGACTTTCCCAGAGTGAACCCGGCCTACCAGGGGATGGCTTCCCCCGGTAGGCCCGGTCTACTGCCCGGGAAAGCCTGCGTCGGCAGGGAAGGCATCTGGAGGTCCGCTGCCGCTGCTGGGAGCTGGGCTGTGCCGGGCAATCCCGGTCATGCTCAGACTCCAGTGGGGGAAGTCCAGGAGTCCTAGCATGGCCGGGCTCGCCCGGCGTGGCTCGGCTCCCAACAGCAGCGGCGGTGGGAGGGGGAATTCCAGATACCTTCCAGGCGGAGAAGCCCTGGAAGGCATCCAAAGTTCCCCACTGCCACTGCCGCTGCTGGGAGCCTTCGGAGGTCTCAAACGGCTTTCCCCCCGACATCGGAGGAAGCCATTTGAGACCTCCGAAGGCAAAAAGGCAGGGAGAAAGGGCTGGAAATTCCAATTTCCAGCCCTTTCTCCCTGCCTTTTTCCCTTGGAGCTCCCAAACGGCTTCCTCCAATGTTGGGGGGGAAGCCCTTTGAGACCTCAGGAAGGCTCCCAGCAGCAGTGGTGGTGGAGGACCTCTGCATGCCTTCCAGGGTGGTGGAGAATGTGCAGCACAGTCCTAAACCTGCCTACTTAAAAATTAGTCCTCTTGAATCTTAGGCACATTCATGTTGTAATCCTATTGAAATAAGTGAATGAAACTTACTTTTGAGAACATAAGAGTGGGCTTGAAGTATATGTCTTTTAATGGAATTTAAATGCGTTCTTAACAACAAAATCATGCCTTTATTTATTCAGAAATAAGTTGCACTGAGTCCATTATAGTTCATTGTTTAGTGTATTAGGATTACAATCCTAGTCTTCTGTCAGTTGAATTTCAGGGGAATTTAATAGTGCTTCACTTTATTGGTTTTACCCCTCTTAGAATACAATTTTGCTATATAGTCTGAGCTTTTTTCTAACAGATTGTATTCTTGAATATGAACAGTACCAACAACAAAAAGAATCACTTTCTATTGATATATACTTCTCCTTTACTACATATATGATCTAATGTGCAGGATCATATTTACTGCAAAATATGCACTATAATGTCTTCCCAGATGGCCTCACACAAAAAAATATGGAAGTGGGGTTACGATATTCTAAAAATGTTGCTAAATAAAGGAGAAAGCATTGGAAAATGACACACTACTTTATTGAACCAGTAAGGCTAATTATAAGGAGACGGTGCTTCCTAATCTTAATTCGTTCGCATTGCAAAATTCTTTTTTTCTTTTCTTTTAGGAATGATTGGTTATGGCATGGCTAAAGCAGCCATCCACCAGCTTTGTCAGAGCCTCTCTGGTTCAAGCAGTGGTTTGCCACGTGGGTCTGCTGCAGTTGCTCTCCTCCCGTAAGTGTTTTGAGTATCTGTCCGGTGACATTGTTTGTTTTCAGACTGCTGGTGTGCCCAAAATGTGTCATGTTAAATGAACCAACTCTTAACTCACTGGGTTCTAGTCTACTTGAACAGATAACTTGGCAACTTGAGATTACAAAGGTTATGAAAATGAATTTTTTGAATGTCCATAACTAAGAAGATGGGAGATATGATAACGCTTTTCAGATACTTGAAAGATAGTCATACAGAAGAAAGGCAGGATCTGTTCTTGATCATTCCAGAGTGCAGGATATGTAATAATGAGTTTTAGACTGAATATTGGAGAAAAAACGTAATTGTTAGAGCAATAAGATTCATCGTGTGCATAATTAGTTTAAAATACATGTAAGAGTATAAGTGACATTACTGCTGTGGAAGTAATCTTATGTTAGACTGGATCTGATTCATTTTTCTGAAAACAATGCATAATAGCATCCGAGTTCTTATTACTGGGCCTATAGTGATGATAGCCACTGTATATTTCCTTGACAGGAAAACATGCTGACAGAGGAAGAAATGGTATATAAGAAGTCAGTATCTGTAAGGAAGTCCCGCAAGCAAAATGAAGAGCTGTTATGGATGGACATGACTTTGAGCAGAGTAGTTGCTGGGGAGGAGAGTAAGAGGGAGCGAAAGGAAACAGAGGGAGCATGTAATCTTTCCTAACCAGATTTCCTTCCCCCTCCCACTTTAATCCATCTTTTCCATCATCAGCTGCCTTTAAATATGCACTCTCTGGAAGGAAAAATAAAAGCACATTTCAGTGAACCAACATCCAGAGATGGCAGTAGCCTTTCGTGTCTACTCAAAATGGTGTGCCCTCCTGAAACGACGTTTCCTTTTGTTGTTTTTTCAAATGACACTCAAAGCTTGTGTGTGTGTGTGTATTACTTGCCTTCGCATAATAAATGCTTGCATGCAAATAAATTTCTAATGTTCAAAGATTGTTATTTCTGTATTTTTAGTGAAAATGCTAGATCTTAAGAGAAAGGATAATCTGTCATTGTCTGCTGAGCATTCTGCAAGTGGTGTGCTGATGTCATTTGTCAAATGCACATGTGAAGGGCTTATCTGTCTCTGTTCTAGGGTTACCTTGGATACACCTATGAACAGGAAATCCATGCCTGATGCAGACTTTAGCTCATGGACACCATTAGATTTGATTGCTGAGTGAGTAAACATTGGCTTTCTCACTGAAGGGCTTGGGACACCACTGTTTGCATCTCAGTTGCTTCTGTCTGTAAAATCCATTCTGTGCACAAAAATCTATTCTGTGCACATTGGTCCAGATCCCCTGTGAATGAAAGGATGTGACCTTCCTTTGAAATGCTGTGAAGCTAGATCTGAAAGTAGAGAAGGCTGGCAGTCAGAAACTCAAATGACCTTTCTAGCCTGTGTAGCATAGTTTACATTATATGGCAATGTGGAACCGTGTGTGTATTTTTCTGTCCATAAGAAAATGTTACATCCCTGTGAGAATATTTCTCAATGAGGACCATAATATTTCTATACCTGAAGCAGTCTTCAATTTCTTTCTTTCACCAATTGTCTGATGACTGTACCCAGTGGGTAGAGTGGATTCAGCACTAAGCTGGGACATTGTAAAGCCAACTTTAGTGCCTCAGCATTAGTCCTGGACCTGTAAATTGGGAATGTTCATGCTTTCTCTATTTGTTGAAAGGTTTTACCTTTATGAAGCTCCATGAAATGTTATGTTAGTTTCAAATAACAAAACAAGTTTATTTAGTCTAAATAAATATTTTAGTTTCTTGGGACACAAACTGCCAGAATTTTCCAAGAATTCTACAAAAATACATCTTCAGAACTACATTTTTCTCCTCTGGAGAAAGGCTTACCTTTCAGGCTGCATGGCCTGTCCTGCTTGTTCCTAATGCAAAAAACGAACAAATGAAAAAACCTGCTGCAATGCTTTGTGGGAGTTGTAGTCTCACAGCCCATTATGCTGTTTAGAGGGCATCACCCAAAGAACTACGGTACCCAGAAAGCACTGTGACGGCTTTCTGTTCTTACATTAATAGGATGCACAGACCACCCAGCCTTAGAGGTGAGCCTTTTTTCATTTGAGTGATATCTAGGTGTTTGTGGGCTGAAACTCCTAGAATTTTATAAGGGGAATTTTTGGAGAATTCTGAGAGTTTGGGTCCAAACATTGAAAGAGGATACTCCTTGTCTTTCGATAAGATCTGTACTTTTGGATAGGTGCAAATGATGAGAACCTTAAAATGGACCATTTTAGATTGTAGACACACACAGATAAGGGAGTGGTTCCTTTGAATACAGTGGGACTTGTTTCTGAATGAACACGCATAGGATTGCTGTATGAAATATACAGTGAAGAGCACTGAACATGGTATCTTTGACCTTCAGGATGTCTACGTTTTATTAAAGTATCTCAAAGAGTGTTTAGAGGCTATAGATAAGAAATTAACCAATGAAATTTGTTTGTTTTTAACAGAACGTTTTATGACTGGGTTACTGGAAAAGACCGCCCAAGTTCTGGAAGTCTGATCCAGGTGGTTACAATCGGAGGGAAGACTGAACTTACACCTGCCCATCTCTGAGCTGGGAGGGATAGTTTGTGTACACAGTGGTGAAGTCCATGAGATATGAAGTGTGTGATTTTGTGGTCATATTTTGTTTGTTCCAATTAGAGGATCTTATTCGTGGAAGAAGACCTGAAATTTTGTTTGTGTTGCTAGATGTAAGCCTCCTGTGCTTAATTACCAAAAGGAAAAAAGGAAAAAAGAAAAAGAAAAAAAGGGGAGGGGAGGGGAGAGACAGAAGGTGTCTTGTTCTAAATCAGGCTGGAGAGTTTCAAGATTCACTATTGGCCTAACATTTTGTTGCCTTAAAAGAAGCAAGCAGTGATACTGCTTGGTAAAGCAGAGTTCAGTTGTATAATATGCGTATGTATACCTATTGCAGAATGCTTGCTGTCCTGAAGTTTTTCTGTATTTCCATGAGTTGTCCACCTGGATGACATTTAGGATGACTTTTTGTCAGATATGGCTGTGAATTCTTGTTACATCAACCTTGACCAAAGATGGAATCCTGCAACCCTCCCTTCTGAATGTTCTTTACTGTCTCAGTGAGTTCCATGGAAACAACTACAGTGGCTTTCTTGAACTGTACCACTTGTGATTATGTATATGCTTTGAGAAGAATGTTGGTTCTTTTTTTGAAAAGATGTACAAAACATGTGGGAAGCACGTGGACATGTGTTTGCAAAGGGTTTTTTTACTTGAGACTATTCTCAAAGATTCAAACACTTCAGGCTAAATCCAGTTGTTAGTCCCAAATAGGTTTTAGTCTACTGAATGAATGGGTCTTGTTAAATGACCTAAAGGATCTGCAAGGATTGGCTGAGAAGAAGCAAAAGCAATAAATATAGGAAATCAGACTAGGAGAGGGTAGTTACTTAGAAAGTCACATTTATGTACATAGTCCTGACATTGCTTTCGAAAATTTTCTTCCAAAAGGTCTTTTTTGCTTGTAGATTAGTGGCCAAATTTCATATACTTTTCTTGTTTGATCCTGTTTGATAGAAGTCCTAGTGAATTAATTGGGTCTGCTCTGGATAGGGATAACAGCTGGATTTAGATCTTTCTCCCTTACTCTCAACTGTACGTGGAAATGGGTCCTTTGTGGCATCTATATAAATGTGCGAAGAAATAGATGTTTGTGAAAATCAGGGTTGGGAAAAAGCCACTGATTTGCCTTAAAGCTATGGAACTCTTGTCAGGAAAGTCTACACATCCTCTATCTGCTAGGTAACCATGACAACAAAGAAGATTTATAGATGACAAAGATGTTGACAATTGAAACCTTATTCTATAACGAAAAGAGTGAAACCAGATGTTTATTATGCTTTCTGAATGTTTCATGTGCTAGTATACCCTGCCATTGGAGGCGGGGGATAATAAAGCAGTATCATTATCAGTGTTCAAATGGAAAGATAATGTAACCTCCCATTGATACTACAGTCACATGCTGGGGAATATTTAACCACTCAGCAGCTTCACATTTGCTTAGTGAGGGTCATTGTTCTCCTTGCTTCGGTCACCCTTGATCAGATATGATTACCAGCAGATTTTATCCACCAGCAAAGCACCTCACTAAAACCTGAAAGAGAGGGCCATACGTTAGCCAAGATGCTGTCATTGCCACCAGCCAAGTTTTTGCTAAATGAATGTGTTGCATAGGAGTCTGTATATTGTTGTTTTTAAATGTAGCCTTGATACTCTGTTATAGCAGATGTTCTCTTATGTCTTTGATCTTTCCTAATACTGCAGTTCAGTAATCGGCAGAACTGGCAAAAGAAACTAAATTGGTAGTCCTCATGAGGATTATACAATGAAAAGAATGGAAATTTATCTCAGCAAAGAGTCACTTCAGCAATCTTTTATTTTCTTTTATCTTCCCTGCCCTTGCTTGCAAAGTCTACTCGGCCGCCTAGAGTAGTCCATCGGACTAGATAGGCGGGATATAAATTAAATAAATAAAATAAAATAAATATGGTGGAGCAAATCATAAATCGATTTCCAAACACTGGATTTGCTTCTTGCATTTTCCTAAATTTGTTTATAATTTTCCAAAACATTCTCTTCATTCTTGAAAGTCTCCCCATTGGTTTATATGCCTTTTATAGTTCCTAATGTACGAACCAAATCCACCAGAAGGTATTTTGGGAGACAGTGGGAGGTAGTAGTTTTGCTTTATGATGCTGTGATTGCTAGAAGATTCTTCAAGATAAGTTATAAAACAGTCTAATACCTTCTTTAAAGTGCAGTCCTAAAAATACAGTGGCTCTACAGGGTAGGGTTAGGCACAAGCCTCCTGCCAACAGATATGCAGTTCAACATGAAGGCTCCTCTTGTGGTGGCCACTCTTAGAGATCTGACAGATTGCTCTAATGGCTAAGATCTGCCAGCAGAAGAGACAAAAAAGGAGGAGGTTTCATGAAGGATAAGATGGGTCATTCCAGATCTAGTTGTTCTGCAGGCAATGGACACAGTAAATGATGGTACAAAGACGGGCCAAGGTTAGTCCTAAGTAATTTCCAGCATCCCTAAGCTAACAGGGGTTTGGATTCAGGACAGCTTCAGCTCACATGTACGCTCAGCTGGCCAGTAGCCATTGTGCCCATTTGGGACTGAACTCCATATCTACATGTACATAAAAAAACTTCGCACAATCTGAGGAGAAAGTGCCACTTCCTGTGTGATCCTAACAAAGTTTTGCAGCACTTTGAGCAGAACTGGGCCAAATGACTTGCCTTCATTGGGTTTACTGTTTCTTTGTTCTGTTTGCTTTTAAGAAGCAAAATGACAGCCAGAAATTTTATTACAATACATGAGAAAGCCTTGTGTAGATGAGTTAAATTCTGGACTAAACAAGGAGCAGAGTGGTTTAGATTTTATTGGGCATCCTGGGTGCTTCTGGTGCCATCCTAGTTGTCCTTGCCCCCCAGCTCTATAGATCTTGTGTGGAGGAGCTGCCAAAACTATGATCTGGAAAGTCAAGTTCAAAAGGGGAGAGAGAAGTGAAATGGCAGGTACCAGTTAAAAGGAAAGGTGTCCAGTTAATTGGTGACAACTGCAAAATTGCTTGATAGCTCTACTTCTAAGGCTCAGAATATCCTGCAAATCAAACCCTTGTCAAACTGAGCAAACGTGTCTCCTGCAGACCTTTGCTGACCTGACTTTACATCTTTTCAAGGCATTTTCTCCAACATTTGGACTGTATGGTGGCATCTTGAAGAAACGTATGTATTTTAATATTGGGCAAAAACACAAAGTAAAAAAGCATAAAAACCTTGTGACACCTTAAAGACTGTTATATTTTAATCTAAGCTTTCATGAAACATCTTAGCCCACTTCTTCAGACATATGAGGGTAGAATACAGAGATCACACAGTAAAACATTCATGTCAAACTCTTAAGGGACAGTGGTGTATGGTTGCATTTGCTACCCTCAGTGATTTATGACCTGTTTAGTGTTCAGTTCTTTTTGTAAACATCCTAACCCCCCCCCCCACACACACACAGACCAACAAGGCAGTAACATGATTAAAAGAGACAATAGAGGAACAATGTGTGTTAATATACGTAGAGTGACAGACATTACCTTTTTCAAATACAACGTTTTAGTGATGTTTTAGACTTCTGTAGAATTCTGTACACTTACAGGCTACATGATTTCTGGGCTTTCCTGACCCCATGCAGGGATGAGGTTAGGATTTGCAGGTCTTGCATTTAGAGAATTCCAATTCCACCCCAAATCCACCTCAGGGGATCAACCTGCTGACAACCAGAATCTGCCATTGTTATGTCTCTGTGTCATGGGTTGCCCAGGCACAGTGCAAGTTGTTTTTTCTGATACATTGGCTTGGACAAAAAAAGGTACCCCAGTAGCAAAAAACAAAAGATTTCCTGGGGGGGGGCAGTTGTAGTTCCAGCTGTTCTTTTGCGTGTAAAAAGTTATCACAAGTATTTATTAGCAGAGACTGTGGCCCTGTTACCTAATGGAGGGGAATGAATAACAGTTGTAACAGGCAGGGGAAGGTATGGTGCTGGCACAACAGCAAGTAGATCTAGAAGAACGGGAGATATCTGAAAGCTGTCCCTTGTTCTAGCTTTGATGTCAGTGGCCTGATACAAGGTAACTTGCTCATCCGAGCTTTCACTCTATCCCTGATGGTGCTAAATGCCAGATCTTTAATCCTGGATGATTAGCAGATCTGGCTTGCATTACTGAGACCTGGGTGAGCACAGAAGGTGGTGTCACCCTTTCATCAATTTGCCCACCCGGATATTCCATCCAACATCAGGATAGACGGGAGGGTCAGGGAGGTCGAGTTTTGCCATTGTCACAAAAACACCTTAGAGGTCGTCAGGCTCTCTAGCTTGAGTATCCTAGGCCTCGAGACCCTCCACGTGTTGGTGGGGACAACGGATAGATTTGGGATGGTGCTGGTTTACCATTCGCCCTGCCATCCAGCGCTCTCCTTTCCAGAGCTGGCAGATTTCATCTTGGCTGTGGCACTGAGGTTCCCCAGACTACTGGGTCTGGGTGACTTCAATGTCATGCCAAGGTTAAGGCTTTTTAATCTTACAAAGTTTGTTCAAAACAGCCCCTCCTCCCCCCCGCAGACATTTAAAGCCCAAAACTACCGCTTCTCTTCTTTAAATGTTCTTTCAAACACTTTCCTCCTCTGGGTGAAAATCCCGTTTTCATTGCTGTCTGGAATTCTTTTATTAAGACCTCCGATTATAAGCTGCTTGTTCCTCCCCTCCTTTTTTTTTCCCCACATGAGGCAATGTTTGTGGAAAATGCAAAAATAAAGTGTTCCTCTGTGCCCAGCTAATTCCAAGTCATAAGGTTCTTCCTCTCATTAACTATAAATCTTGGGCATTTGCTTCAGTCCAATTACTCACTTTCCCCCCTGGGAATCTCCAACGTCTCCGAGGTGCAATCTCAATGCCCTCTCGACGGAGCCTCACAGCTGAATTTGCCTTAGAAAGATAGTACTGGCAGGACCTTCTGTCTGAGGAGGAGAGTCTCTCAGGGAGGGGGGTTGCATGCCCACTCCTCTCAGGGTCTCTCAGCTCCCCTGTGACCCAGGGTGGCCTCCTGGCTCCCCCACCCTCAAATTTATTGAGGGAGCCTAGATCCACAGTATGCAACAGGTCTTCTGGGAGCGCCAGTTTCCTGCTGCTTCGTTGCTACTGGCTCTGCCCTCCTCTGGCAGGTCACACACTAGTATTCTCAACAAGGAGAGAGTAGACCAATAGTGACTGACTTGGTTTTGGTCCCCTTGTACTGGTTGGACCACCACCTAATAACATGCAACCTCTCAGTGGCATCCCCCCCCCCCGTGGGGAGCAGGGACCCCTTAAGATGGTCCATCCCCACAGGTTATTGGATCCTGTTGGTTTTCAAAATGCAATGTGGGAGATATTGGCTGATCTAGTTGGTGCTCCTGTCAAAGCTCTGAATGGTATGTGGCAGCCACCAGGGCAGCTGATATGATCGCTCCTCCATTCTTGACCCTGGCCAGCTGCTTGATATAACCAGTAGCTGCAGGGGTTGAAGTGAAGTAGGAGCAGGCTAGAGGGCATTTGGAGACTGGCCCCAATGGCAGCTAATTTAAATGCAGCAAAAATTGCATTGAATATTTATTTAGCCAAGGTGAAGGCTATAAGAAAATCTGACTTCGCTCTCCAGGTAAGTGAAGCCTGGCACCATCAAGTGGAACTGTTCCGCATTGTATGTGATTTATCCAGGATTGGTCACTGTCGCATCCACCCAGTGTCCCTTGTTTATTCTCTCTTAAACATAGGTTCACCCCCTGGATGCGTTTCCTCTTTACATGCTGTCACCAAGTATTATTCACACAGTACCAAATAAGTATTTCAGACACGTGTGTTGCCAACTATAACAGGTTTATTGAACTTTTAAGTTTGAGAATCACAGGAGTAATTAGATGTTCTATTATTATGTAAATCAGAAAATCACAGATGTTCTGGATCATTCATTAAATAGGATTTGGTTGTGCATTGGTTTGAATGAGTTTTTATTCACAACAACAATATACTTCTACTAGTTATCTATTCTCTATTCCATATAACTCCCTGGTTTCTCTATCACTCCAACTGTTTAATCTATGTATTAACCTTCTCAATTCAATCTCCTAACTCTTCCTCTTCAAATCCCTATCTATCCCCTGCTTCTCTCTAGCCCCATAACTGTCATTCTTACTTCTCAACTGTCCCTTTGACTCCACCCCTCCTGCCCTATCATAAGCTCTTACCTTTTGAGCTTGCATGATGGACAGACAGGAGTGATGTAATGTGATGGCATTCCACCACAGCCACCGTGACAGGCCTCCCAGTAGCATCTCCTGTGACCAATTTTGGCCTTTTTAAAACACAAAGTGGAGG